AAACTAAAACCGTCCGAACTAACACTATCCTTCCCTACTTACTTCTCCACTCCTAACAATCGAGGAAAGGAAAAGAAAAAAAAAACCATACATCACAGTTTTATCAGCAAGTTAGGACCATTCTACCAAAAAGCTCAAGTGAAGAGACGGTGGTTAATGTTTATTTTGAGTGTCATTATTGGCGTCAGTTTTTCCTCTGTAAATTTCACTTGCTTACTGCCCCAAATTTGACACAAAGTAGTAACAGCCACACACAGGATAAACGATTTGCTCTGGGACATATTCCTTGCAAAATGTACTAAATTTTGTGAAAATGAAATGTTAAGTAACTACATGAAATTTATACAGGTTAGTGTTTGATTTCAGAAACGATTTAAAACAGTTGATATAAATCCCTTGGCTCCATTTCAAATCACCTCCTACAAAGTCCATTTTTAATCTCTCATAAGGAGTTTCTGTTATCACGTAAAAGATGCACGTATATGGGGGAGAATGTAGAGTGGGGAATAGAAATGATTTACAAGTAAGCTGTTTCTTGTTCAGAGTCTCTAACAGCATGATATATTCATCAACATTAATTAATTTTAATTACTGAATGTATTTAATTTAGGGCCATTCAGATATTTACATTGGGAAAAAAACCTTAAAACTCTATAGATTTGCTAGCAAAGGTGGGATGGTGGGAACCAGACTTCTCTGTACAAATTTTTATTGTTTTGACTTCTGATCCAAGTAAAAGTATCACCTATTTTAAGATTAAAATTGTATTCTTAAAAGCTTACGAACCAGGAGAATATTCTGACATTTTCAGATTTGTTACTTTTCTCATGATTTCCATGTAATCAGATGGATAAACACGACAATTCAGTCTTTGATGATGATGTCTCTGGGGGGACAGACATGAAGAGTTGGAAAAACAAGAGAAAAAAGGAAAGGGGGGGTCCAGAAAGCATGAGAAGATGAGAAAAGACACAGATGATTCTCATAGATTAAGCTGGCGCGTTGAGCAGTCAAAAGATTATTTTATTCACAGTGGACAAAAAAGACATCGGAAGAATTTCTCCAAGGAACCCAAAGTGCCATCTGAGTTGGTAAAATGGCTAAAGCAGACACCTAGAGGAGGCCACAACGGGGTCGAGGTGGCTCTGAGAGAGTAGTTTTGAGCTGGAACCAAGGAATAAATTTCAGACCCAGAGAAGACAGAACCTTGCTTTGCTAG